TACGGGAGCACCACCGCTCCTAGGGGATTGTGGCTGAGCCTGAATGAAAAGCTCACCTCACTGGGCGGTCGCGCCATCCGAGGCGAGCGATGCTTGTGGGCCTGGTACAGCAAGCACGAGATGGATCCCGTCGCTGGCAATCCACGCTTGCTCGGTCTCATGGGAGGACACGTCGACGACTTCCACCAGATCGGCGACGAGAACTCTCCCGAGTGGCAAGAGGTGGTGCAGCTCATCGACACCTCCTGCAACTGGGGAAGCAAGAAACGTGGCTCCTACCGCCACGCCGGGTCCGATGTGCACACCATTGAGGAGAAGGACGGTGGCTTCCGCATCCAAGTGGATCAGAGCTTCTACGTCGAGGGCTTGGCTGACATCAGCATCGACCCTCAGCGCCTTCGAGAACAAGGTCCCTTGGCGCCTCATGAGGTCAACGCATGCAGGACAGCACTTGGAGCCCTCCAATGGCTCGCTGTCCAGAGCCAACCACTCATCACTGCCCGCTGCAACCCTTTGCTCTCTGAAATCACCACCGCTGGAACCTTGGAGAGTGCTCGCGAGATCCAGGCGATCATCAATGAGTGCCGTGCCCAAGCCACCTGTCTGGAGTTCAGTCGTTTTGATGACTGTGAGTCTTGGGACCAAGGCGTTTTTGTGGGAATGGGTGATCAAGCCCACTCAAATAGAGAGAAAGGGGGAAGCACTGGTGGGATGGTGATCCTGGCATCTTCTCCCAAATGCCTGGATGGAGCGGTGAGCAAGATGTCGCTGCTAGCTTGGCGCACCTGGAAGCTGAAGCGCCGTGCGGTGGGATCAAACGACGCAGAAGTGCAGTCGATTCTCGAGACCGAGGATGTCCTGTTCCGCTCGAGGGTGCTTTGGGCAGAGCTCCATGGCGCTGGGAAGCACGTGGCTTCCACACGTGGTTTTGACATGGTGGACGCCATGGAGGCGGTGGCTCGCTTAGTGAAAGGCATTTTGTGTACAGACTCAAGAGGAGGATTTGACGCCATTGAAGTCAGTGAGTCTCCACTTTTAGGTTTGACAAACCTCCGAGCGGCCCTTCAAGCATTTCAATTGCGCGACAATTTGCGTCGCACGGGCTGCACGTTGAGGTGGGTTGCGTCGGATTACGACTTAGCCGACGGGCTCACAAAGAAACGCCCCGAGGCGCGCATCGGCTTAGAGAGATTTTTGAAGTCATGGCTTTGGGCCATTGCATTCGATGCATCGTTCACGGCTGCCAAGAAGAACAAGCGACAAGGTCGCACAGCTGTGAAGAAGATCGATGACTTTGAAAGCTCAGGCCAAAATGAGTCAAAGACTCAAAAACCTTTTTTGCCGGTGCAGGTTCCATGGCCTTGAGCTTGAGCTTTTGTTGCATCCATGTTTTTCCATGCCACTTGGCCCGAATCCAGGGGCCCCTTTCGAGCACTGACTCGACCACTGCGGTCGGTAGAAAAGCTGAGCCATTGCGGCTGTCCGGACTTCGTTCGTACTTTGTGTTTGAGCCCCTCGATACGCTCCACTTGTGCTCCACCCGCTACACATTCCTAGCAGGAAAAAATGTCAACCGAAAAAGTAGTCAGGTTTTGGCAGGGTGCCAGGCTGGCTTTCTGCTGAATGAACTTTAACAAACCAAGCCAAAAGGTTGAGGGGACTAAAATACGGTTGTTTCCTCGGCTGGCTTCTGTTCTGACATTGGAGCTACAATGCAATGCCAGGTTGTGCTCTCCAGAATCCAGGTCGATTCGCCTGGTTCTCCAGAGCCCCAGCTCATGTAGTAGTTGCGGATTATTTCCCTCCCCTGGTTCGGTCTTGGCTTCCGCCAACTTTGCCGTTTGCTAGGTCCGGACCGTATTCGCGCCGCTACGCGGCTGGGGCCGCCTGCACCGGGAGAAATGTCATAGAGATTGGGGCGCTTAGGCAGCCCTGCATCAAAGAATATGAGTCAGAGACAAAACTATGGTCAGGGGTCTGCTGAGTTTGCTGCTGCTGCTGGTCTCTTGGCTGCTGCTTGCTGCTGCTGCTGCTGGTAGTTGTGGCACCACCACAATTTGGGTCGACAACGAATTTGGTATGCCCGTGTATGACATGAGTGACTTGGAGCAGTCGCTGTGCGAGTGGGTCACACATCAGCTGGGGGGAGCGCTGCAAATTCGATCGCGTGCTGTAAGCATGAGAAGGGACAAGTGCCTCGTCGGCGGAGAGGGCTGCGGCCGATGTTTGTGGTAATGTTGTGGTATATATGTGTGGTGTGGGCAAACATGCAAGATGGGCCAAACGGGGATAACTGGAGAGTTGGTTTGTGCAGTCGTGCACTGAGGCATGGCCATCCATAGAATGGAGTGGCAGTTGGCGGAGTAGAAACACATGAAGGGGTATTTGCTGATCCCAGCTGTATACAATCTTTCTGCTGCTTTTTTGCTTTCCTAATTTGCGGTGGTATAATATAGGTGTAGTGACTTGGTGTCCCACCGTCCCGGCTCTACCTAATACAAACCACTAGCCAGCTTGAACCACACCATGAAGCCATTGATGTTTGTTTATGCAAAAACTCAACGTTTTCTAATTCTTTCAAGAACGCCTCCAAAGTTTGCGTCTCGATTCTCAAACACCTTCAAAAACTCAGATGTCTTGCCCGATTAATGGCCCCCCCCGCAGCTAAAGCTGAAATCTTGCAATTGACTATGCCATTTGGATACACATTGAGCCGAAGCACAGAGTCATTGCGACAGCTTGGGAACCAAACTGGAGGTAGTGTTGCCAAGTACTGACGCATGTTGCTCAAGGTCTCCGGGCTGAGTCTTCCGTGTTACAAATGTGGTTTCCTTGGAAGACGACACATTACTTTTTTCTTAAGGACTGCGCAGGTTCCACTTTGCAAAGAACATCGTCGTGGGATGACACAATGGGCCAACTTCTGTCGCAACTTGGGCCCTTCACCAGCTTCGGCGCGTTGTCCAGTGATCATTGCTTTTGCGCAGGCGCTGGCTGAGAGTCCCTAATGGACAGGGGCAGGGGCTGATTCGGTAAAGGAAACGTTCTTGGTGCTTAAAAGTTTGCCTGCCACTCCCTTGGGCGGCCCTCTTGAGCTCCGAGGCCGCGTTGCTTGTCGTTGCCAAGTCTGAAGACAGTATATGGAGTCCGGCCAAAAGTCTGTCTATAATCAAAAGATATAGATAAAGGGGTCGAAAGTAGATTATGATGTTGTTTTTTCAATTAGATTATGTAGCGGGCCCCCAGCTAAACACACCAATTCTGCAGCTGGGCGCTAGGTTTGCGGTAGACTTGCGCTAGTGACGCTAGTGTTTGCCTTAGGACATATTCAGAACGTCGTCAGGTTTTTGAAAAGTGGCTGGCTGAAAAATGCGCTAGCCGCGCGCTAGCACTGCGCTAGATCCGCGCTAGCAAACATTGCCAGATTCCAGCGTGGAGTGGACCCTTCCAAGATCTTCCAAGGCTGACTTGCAACATGTCTTTTGTTTCAAGCATGGCTTGAAGCTCGGAGATCAGCTGAAAACGGTGCAGCGCTAGTGACGCCTCTTACAACTTGGCGCCAATACTTGTTTGATCCATGTTTCCTTCATTGACCTGTGTGTGTGTACCAGAGTAAAGAATATGTAGCGGGCCCCCATGTGAACACGACTTTTAGCCATTTTTGGAAGAAGGCATTTCGACCAGATCCCATATATATATATGACACGCTGTGGGGCACAAAGTTATTGCGCAGCTATTGCGGACCATTTGCTGGGCTTATACGTTATCAGAAGATCACTCACGGGACTTCTTGTTTGCTCAGCGAAGCACGCGCCAATGTTTTCCCAACAAGGCAGGATGCAGATATCGTCAGGTATCCCTGTTGTTGACGAGGGGCTGCTTCGCTCTTCATAGCTGTAAAGCGTCAACGCATGTGAACGCTCTCGTGGGCCAACTGGCCTTCTGAGGGTGGTGCAGGGCGGTGCTTTTCAAAGTGCAGCAGGGACGACGTAACAAAATGTGCAGAGTCCCGGACTATCGCGAAGACAGGCCTGCGCTGGCGTGCTTTGCGTAGAGAGGAAAGACACAGTGGGCGAGGGCCCGGAAAAAGCTGCCCCACTCACGAGAACTTCAAGTAGTCTTCTGTGTTTATCACTGTCCGCCTTGTCCCCAAGGCTGGCTTCTCAGCGCGAGAAAACAGGCTGGTTGCCCGACAAAAATGGCACGGCGCGCAAATGGCGCATGGCTTCCAGACCACAGACGAGGGTCACCGCGGGCTCGCGCGTGTGGTGGTTTCTTATGTTTTTTTCCATCCTCTAATGCTTTTGTCAAGTCCCCTAGTCCAGGCATTTTTCAAAGCCGTTTGCTGCGTCGGCGCTTTGGAAAGACCTCATTACGAGGTCATTTTTTTCCAGGCTTTGTGATGCTCACGCAATTGAGTTGAGCTGGGGTGTTTGATGCGAACTGGCGGCTCAGCAAGTTGCTCACCGTTGCCAAAAGCTAGGGTCCAAACCAGCGAACCAGGCAAACCCTTCTATCGACCATGCAAAGATTTAAACTTCTGTTTCCAGCTGGGATCACGGAAGGTTTACTACTACTACTACTACTACTACTACTACTACTACTACTACTACTTATACTTACTACTACTACTACTACTACTACGACGACTACCACTCCTACTGCTACTGCTACTGCTGCTGCTGCTGCTGCTGCTGCTACTGCTACTGCTACTGCTACTACTACTACTACTACTACTACTACTAGCCTGGCTTGGCATACAGGCACGAATTGCGACATTTAGTCTTAGCCTGCGGGTTTCGCATGTTTGGTTGGGCTTGGGGGGGGCTTTGCAGCTGCCGCATCCCCTAATGGGTGGCAAGCATGCGTCCAAAGCAGGTGCCGACATTTCAGCCTCAAGATGCCCAGGTAGGTCCAAGGTTCTTGGCGAACATTGGCGATCGCCCAGTGAACTCTTATTTTAGTTGGTTATTGGTTATTTTGGTTTGCAGCAGCACCAGGTATGTCGCTCTTCGCTTGATGCTTCTACCCTTCCTTGCCGACGGAGCACTTGCTGGATTGTCCAGCTGGGGCAGGCAAACCGCACATAGTTGCAAGGAACGTCAAATGAGTGCCCCACCAAATTGTGCATCATGCTTGGGTTTTGGATGCAAGTCCTGATTTGTTGCGGCGCGGGGTTTTTGTCCGGCAGGTTTGCACAACCTGTTTTGCTGATCATGATTACCCTGGACCTTTGGGCACTGGTTGTGGCAGCAGGGTTCCCAGGACTGAGAATGAAGATGAAAGCAGGCTGGCTTTCACTACCGGACTACGAGCCTTTGTTGAGCTCCCATTCACACAAAGACCAAAAAACTCCGTCAAGGGACCATTAAGATCACAGAGTTGCGCAGAGTTGGACGTGCTGCAGCTCAGTAACCACTTTTTCTCAGCCGTTCAAGACCAGGCGGCCTATGCCTGCTATCGTCCCAGCATGGCTGTTAAGTGAGGAACTCAGCAACATTCTTTTGGGGCCCAAGTGAACCTGGCAGATGGAGACTGAATGACACGAAGATTGTCACTACACCAACTCTGGGGTCCATGCAACCTTCTACATCATGTTTGTGCCGGTTTGTCACGTTCTTCAATTTGTGAGGTACTTCGTCGCTGTGTCCATCGTTACTGGCATCCCATTTCTTTGCAACCAATTTATTCCGAAGTGAAGCGAATGATGTAAAAAAGCAGCTTTGTGAGCGTGGAGCAAAGAGGGCAAAACAATTCTGTTCTGCAAGGTTAGGCTGAGCATCGTCACGCACCACATGTGGTTTCAGGTTTCTCATGTTGAAACTTGAGGTGTTCGTTGCGCTAGTTATGCGTTTCATTCCACTTTGTGATGGCTCAAAAGGCTGGTTCGAGGCCAATTTTGTTTTTTACAGGCTCTTGAGCCGCAGGCTCCGAAGTGACAGTTGCCATTTGCAAGGGATTTTCCTTGTCTGACTGATTTTGCGCAGGTGAGCATGGGAAAGACGCGTGCTGGAAGACGCAGGCACAAGCAGCTTGAAGGTTATTGTTGATGCCTTTTAATGCCTTAATCATTGAAACCAACTTTGTGGCCACCCCGTATTGAAGTTCTGAGTGGCCCAGGCACACATTTGCGCACACCATTTCTTCACGTAGCATGCCTGAGGCAGACATCTTGCCAAGTTGACCGAGTAAGTAAACCTCAGCAACTTAGCACCAGCACTACATCTCCAGCAGTAGTGGAACTACTGGGAACTGTTTGTGCTTGCAGCTCTTTACCAGCCGTGAGGACGCTATCCTTTAGCCTGGAGAATCCACAACCAACACTCCTTCAACATCCTTCAACCATGCAAAGTGAGCGTGCATTAAAATTGTTGCTATGATCGTTGAGAGTGAATCGCTTCAGGACCTTGTGGTTGGTTGTTCCTCTTACAAATGCTGGACGATGCAAGCCTGTGGCTGTTAGAATATCAGAGTATGTGTCTAATCACAAATGAATGCATACTTACTTCTTAGCAAAACTCTGGCGGCCGTCACTCCACTTCGTTTGTTTTTAAATGTGGCGCTAGTGTCACCTGCCTTTGTCAATCGCTTGGAATTTGTAACTGCTTTGTCCCAAGATGTCCTACGTATGTTCCGGTTGTCATTTTTGCGTTTACAAGTTGTGGTTTCGTCATTTTTAACAGTGAGAGAACGTGTGCAATGATGGCATTGACGTTTCAGTTCTTGCTTTGCGAGAGTGCGTGTGTGTCTTTGACGCTCACAATTGACAATGCACGTGAGGTGTTTGGGTGCCGCATTGCTCGGGCTTACATTAGGAGCGTGCAGAGCTCAGACATGGCTCCTTTGACATCAAGTTGATCCCCATTCCTTTTTGCTGTTTTCACATCTCTTTGTCCTGTGACAAATGCTGGCCAGTTTTCTGCACTGGTACAATTTACACTATAGATAGATAGATAGATAGATAGATCAACAAGGTATTCAAAGAGTCGTCAGACATCTCCACAGATTTGGCACTTCTTGCGTTATTTGCGGTGTTTGTAATTGTTCGCTCAGTGCTGACACTAAAGGAGTCAAGCACCAAAGGGCATTGCATTAAAAAAAAGCTAGCAATATCTAGTAAAAATATTGGCACGTACAACATATGTATATATATATATATTTGTGTACATACAGTCATTGTATGTAGCTCACATACTACTTTTGGATAGTCACTTTTTTGAATCTATACATGGGTTTTTAGTCGTAAGGTGTTATGTGGCTCTTGCATCACATAATCAAAGCCTGCTGCAAGTTCTGAGGGCAGAGAAGGGTTTTGTGGCCCCAAAGGCGTGTGGGTGTTGAGATGGGTTGAGGGGTCTCGGAGTACAAAAATCAAGGTTGGTCAACTTGTCAACCTCCCTGTGAACAATTGTATACCTGGCTAAAACAACACAGCATGTTTGCCACAGAGCTTTTGGTTTAGTGTGAAACAAAGAGATGAGAGATGATGTTTAAGTTACTTGGGTTGCAGAAGAGGCAATTGCCAAGTGCCTTTTCGTCCGAGAAAAGGTTGTGGCAAACAAGGGAAAACATCTCAGACATGGAAAATTAATACAGTGTGACATCGTGTGCGATTTGGTTCACGCCACATGATGTGCTTCCAGGCCCCTACTGCTCCCAAACAAGTTGATGCTCGAATCTTGTCAGCTGGACTGAGTCCGAAGCCCAGCTCTACTCTATTGGACTACATTGTCATTGGGCACGATACATTCAAGTCTTCAGCTTTGTGCTTTAGGTGTAGGTAAAGTATGGTAAAGTTGTTTGACAACAGTGGCTTTGAGAAATGTCGACTGTCTCACGTGCCAAGGCTCTTGGCTAATTGGAGGTCCGGCCCAGGCAAGCAGGATGCTCTATAAAGGAAGTCAAAAGCCAGGTGGCTTTTCACACTGCCTTGATTTGGAGATAACTGTCAAAAGGCTCAAAACTACCAGCATTTGCATGTGTGCAAAAGTTTGATGCTAGAAGTCCATGAATAGCAACATTTCCTCTAGAAAAATGACAACAAAGATAAGTATCTAGCAGCCGCTTAGAGGGTTTGCAAGGGTGCATATGTGTTCGAGCAAGCAGACTATGCATTTGCTTTCCCCTTTGCTTTCCCTAGCTTACATGGCATCATCCTTCGATTGTGTCATTGGGGCTTCTCCAGATGCATCGAGGTGCGAACTCGGAGCTGCGATTGCTTGTTTTTTCTTTTGGTATGTGTATCCTGTTGAGGATCACAAAATCTAGTGGTTGGTCTTGCGATGGAGACCTGCATCAAACCTGCACCGATGGGGGCCGACCCGTCTACCGATGTCCTTTCGATGGACCCACTTAAGGAAGCACGCTGCCACGCTACATTTGTAGTTGGCGCAAATACCTCTTCTCAGTTTGAGCTGCTTACACCAGTGGACCTGTTTTGCAGCTGAAACAACAGGGGCCACAGTTTTTGTGAAACCATGTGAAGCTGCAGTCAAAAGGTAGTGCCTCGGGTAACACACCTAGTGTTGAGAGTCGAGAGCAGCCCGGCCGTTTGTGTCCCAAGACTGTGACTCAAAGAGATGTGCTACGGTTTGCAAGACCTACAACCTTCTAACCACTGAATAGCTTTCTTATTGGATGCCGACCGATGCCCAACTTGAACATGTTTGTAACCTTGGAAGAGCAACCTCCCCGCAACTTGCACAACCACCACTGTATTTAACTCGTGCCTTCACTGTTGGCGTGCCAAACTGTGGCAAGCTTGATACCGCCAACAGAGCTTGCTGAGGGTGCAAGTGGACCTGCTTTGCACCCGACCCTACACACCTGCAAAACCATGCAAAACCGATGGGGGCCGCCCATTAGGCAATGTCCTTGGTCTAGATACCAGATTTCGTCCGGCAAATGATGTACCATAGCGCATGTACAAGGGCGACACAGGGCCGCCAGGATAGCAGGTGTGGGATGTGTCACACCTGCAGGTGCCCAACCTTCAGAGTGTTTTTCAACTGTACGTTGGGGCACCAGTGCCTGAATTCTTGACACCGAGCAGTTTGGCAACCTGCATGCCTTTCAAATTGTGGGCCGGGGCTTTGTTTTTTCTGTATTGGTGCCGAGTTGTTTTTTGTTTCCCGGGGCTTGTTGTTTTCATGCTGGTGTGTGCTAGATGTTGACGATTGATATCAACTGAGCGGCACTTTGCGCTCAGCGCTATGACGCAGTTTTTCCGCATAGACTCATAGACAAAGAAAGGGAAGTCACACAAACAGCAAAATCAATACATAAACAAAGAGAATCTGAGTAATGCAACAAATCCGCCCTCGTATTGGAACCAAACAGGAAGTGTGTGACGATCGTTTTTGGGCAAATTGAATGAGGCACCATGAGGTACCCGCGTTTTCAATCCAGGCAACAACTGTGCACCGATCGTTTTCATGTGTTTTGAAAGAAGATCATGAGGCAACAAGTTAAATTACACTTATCACTATTGGCAGGTGGTATTAGGGAACAAATGCCCTGTATTTATCATGCGTGGTGATGCGATTTCAACATTTGGGTGAGGCAGAGCCCTGAATCTGCAGTTGCCGTGTGCCCTGGCGGCTGTTTGTTTGGTCTTCCTGAACGAGGCAAACCCGCTGGTTCTTGTTTCTTTGCAAATCGCGGTAAGGATGTGAGATGATGTGAGTACAAATGAACTCAGCAGGTGAAAGATTTAGGAAACCTTCATAGATTTAGGAAACCTTCATATAGACTAAGGGCACAGATTTTTCCCACTGGGACGGATTCTGTTAAGAAGTTTTGAGCAAGGTTTCGCTTGTGAACCATGACAGAAGCACGAAAGAACAAAGGAGGAAGCAAAGCACCGATTGACCGACTGACAGACAGAGAAGGGCAAACAGACGGCTGCAGGTGATTCTTGCAGCTTTGCCGTTGGTGCAGCGTGCGGAACCAGATAGTTTCCTGTGCCTTGTCCTAGTGGTGAGCAAAGAATTGAATGTGACGCACATTTCTGCAGTCAGAACTGAATGACTGACTGACTCACAGACTCATATCAGCTTCAGTTCATCGAAACAGACCCCATCCCTTGACTCAACCGTGCGGGTTCAATCAAAGCGTTGTGTTTGCATACCTTTGTGATTGGCATGTGTTTTGCATTTGATTTGCTTCAATCTGCCAAGGGATGACATTTTGCTGCAGCCAGCCCTGACAGCTGATGACCGCCCTGGCTGTATGGAGAATGGTTTGGCTGTACAAGAGGCAGCTCCCAGTTTAGAGCTAGAGTCGTCCATGCATGTGTTGATGCAAATAATTCGAGTGTTTATAGATCGCATTTGATTAGCAAGCTTCTATTTGCATGTGTGATCTTGAAACCCAGCAAGACGCAGCTAAGTTGTTAGGCCCACAAAGCATATAATCAGTATAATTAGTTGTCCAAAGGGGAACAGAACGGCATCGTTGGAAACAACACGTGAGCAGCATTTCAGCATCATTTAGCAATCTAGCATCAAATCTTGTAAATCAAAGCACAAGTAAGATTACTTTACTTCGAGTGATCCCCACAATGACATTTCAATCAGCTGTTTTCATGCCATGGTGAGGAGCATGTTGCCGTGGTGGTGGTTTTGCGGTTCTCGATTTTGCTTGTGGGTCCTCGGGGTTTGGGTTGTTGTGTTGGGGAGTTCGCGCCGGGGTGTCGCCAGGGTCTACAGCTGGCATTCTATCCAAAGTGGAACTCTGTGACCAGCTGCCACGCAAAACGCCGCACATGCGCAGGTAATCTATTGCGCAGTGTTGTGTTTGTGTTCTGTATGTTGTTGTGGCTGTGTGTTGTGTTGTGGCTGTGGCTGTGGTCAGAAGTGAAGAGGATGTACTGTGATTATGAATGAAGTGAAAGTGGCTGTTCGGCGTGCTATATGCATATGAGTTTGTTATCAACCGCGCTCAATCATTGTGTTCGTGGCTGTGTGCATGGTCGGTTGTGTATTGCGTGTTTGTGTGTTTGTGGCTTGTTGGTTGTGTCTCCTGTGTTTGTGTGTTTTGCGGGTGTGTGTGTGTGTTTATGGGTGTGTGTTATTGGTTGTGCTTGCGTGTTGTGTGTGTGTAACCCTTGGAACCACAGGGATCCTTTCGGATTGTTCTCTTTCAGAGTTTTGAGTTTTTGAGTTTTCAGCAGGGGAACTGGGCACTCTGTGACTGACCCAGTTCAACGGTCACAGAGTGGGATATTCGAACTGATCATCCGAACGTACCTGCCATTTTCCGAGTCTTCTGAATGGCATGAGGCTAAGCCCAGAACCTCACAGACATGTCGCCGCAGTCACGCACAGAACGCCGTCCCCTTCTCTGTTTGAGGACCCCGAGGCACCTGTGGTTCTTATTCGTATTCTTAGGAATTGGAACCCTAGGCCTGCGTGTGGCACCGCTATCAATTCAGTATGCATATCCATAAGTGTGTTTGGCCTCGTGCCAACCCGGGATGAGCCCGCAGAGTGCCTCCCGTGGACCCGTCGAACGGGGGTTTGTCTATGTTCCCCCGGCTCTGGGAACGCAGATGTCCGCAGCGGACAGCAGGTGGCCTAGGCCGAACGTACGATGATTTTTGTCCCATCTTTGGAATTCCAAGTTGGCTCATGCCTTTACGTGACCGCAGCGGTCCAAGCTGGCTTAACGCCTCAACGTGGTCAGAGCGACCGAAGTACTTTTGAGGTTCGTTGGAACCTGTCGGACTCTTAGGTGCACACACATCGTACACACCTTAACGAGGCAGGTCTTCCTAGGTTGTTGCAATGAGGTCTGGGCTCATCGGTTCCCGTCCCCCCCATTTGGTTCCCTTTTCATCCTTTCCCCTTCTCACACTTCTTTTCCTCTTTCTTTTCATGTCTTCCCTTGCTTCATGTCCTTTCATCTCACTCCTTTCGTTCTTTTGCGCGTACAACGGTCCGGGCCTTAGTGTGCACGCGCACATCTACTTCCAACTCAGGTTTCAGGTCGCCCAGGTTTCGACAATGAGGTTTCATCGGTTGTCCCTGTGCATTTGGTTTCTTTTTCATTGCAACCACACACACTTTTGTCCCGTCGTCTTCCTTCTCATGTCTTCATCCTTTTGTCCTTGCTGTGCGCACATTTGCACATTCGTCCTAGCCTTAATTTTGCCTCCCCTCGGGGAGGCGTGTGTGTGTAACCCTTGGAATCACAGGGATCCTTTCGGATTGTTCTCGCTTTCAGAGTTTTGAGTTTTTTGAGTTTTCAGCAGGGGAACTGGGCACTCTGTGACTGACCCAGTTCAACGGTCACAGAGTGGGATATTCGGACTGATCATCCGAACGTACCTGCCATTTTCCGAGTCTTCTGAATGGCATGAGGCTAAGCCCAGAACCTCACAGACATGTCGCCGCAGTCACGCACGGAACGACGTCACTCTGTCGGATCGGCTTCGCCTTACGAGTTTGGCCCCTTCTCCGTTTGAGGACCCCGAGGCACCTGTGGTTCTTATTCGTATTCTTAGGAATTGGAACCCTAGGCCGGCGTGTGGCACCGCTCAATTCAGTATGCATATCCATAAGTGTGCGTTGTCGGTTGTGTGTTGTTGTGTCTTTGTGGTTGTGTTTGTGGTGCGCGCTTGCTGTTGAGGGCCGAGAGTGCTCGCTTGCTCGCTTGCTGTTGAGGTCCGGTAGTGCCCACTGGGATCTGGCACTTGCTGTAGAGGTCCGGTGGTGCCCACTGCAATCTGGAGTTTGCTGTAGAGGTCCGAGACTGCCCACTGCGATCTGGCGCTTGCTGTTGAGGTCCGAGACTGCCCACTGCCATCTGGAGCTTTCTGTTGGGGTCTGGGAGCGCCCACTGTCGGACGAAGGGTTGCGGCACCTCTCTTACAGATCTATATGACAACCCTACCCTCACTTGAGAGGTGGAGAAAAATGTCTATACCTTTGATTCCTGCCCACCCACCCTTCCTAAGAGAACAAGCTTCCGGACAGCTCATCTATATATCTTTGATGGCACACAGCCATTGGTCAGTTGCTTGTGCCCAATGGAGAAAAAACTTGATTACTGTAGTTTACTGCACATGATATTGTTGCCAGTACGGGCTAAAGGCACATTTCTTCGTTGAAGCAAGCTTCATTTGCATGATCAATTGAGTTACGTCATCGAAAATCCACGTGCAAGTGAATGTTGCTTGCAGAAGCACTAGCTGAGGCGTAAATTGAGTGCCACTTGGGTGCCACGCATTTGTTTTCTGATTTTTCACGACTTTTAACTTTACTCCGTTCGATGAGTTTAACGACTGGAAGTCATTCGACAACCTATCTCTTTGTGCAAACTGGATCTCACAAAAAAGACCAGAAGGGAAACAAATCAAGGTTGGTCTACATCATTCACCTTTACTAGCTTTCAGACAGAATAGTCGGCATTTTTGGTAACCTGGAACATCGATACATGTCCATTCGGATCCTGTGGGAGAAGAATTCAACTTGACTTTTGCATGCTGGATAATGTTGGTATGTTTATACCAGCGTACATGCACGTGCGTTTCTTTTTGCAGTGTACAGTGTATGCAGTTATAGACATAGAGCCTTCTTGTTGGTCAACCAAGCATTTTGTAGATGTTCCCCTATTTACCTATTCTGTGATACAGTCCTCTTGGTGACTCTTGGTGTGGCTGAGCTGGTGCGAACATCAACAGATGCGTCCTGCTCCCAAACCAAGAACAAAACCATTGGCCATTCCTGCAGGCATCTGCTTCCTGGAGAGATTTGGATAATCCGCTGAAGCGATTGGCGCCAGATTCCTTGCGAATTCTACCAGCTGGTGAGGAAATTCTGTTTGCAACTGTCGAGAGTGTGCTACCAGCAGGCTTACTAAGCCTTTGACAGCATCCAATCCACAACTATGAAGTGTCATGGTTAGCTTTGAGAGACTAGGAGTTTCCAGTTTCTCTTTCACAAACAGGTTTCAGGTGATACATAGACTAACATGGATCATGAAATTTCGCTTCAGACGTCCTGTGAGGAGGGGAAGCGCATGTCGAGGACTCGGCGCTGGATGACATTTGGCATGTCTAGCATCAAGCGACCAAAGGCTGTCACCCCAAAGTGGTGTTTGATGAGGTCCTGCATTGTCCTGCTTTTTGACCAGCGCCGGTATGTTCAATCCAAACATATTTCTTTGTGTCATGGTATTGTGTATATAGCAACACTATGTAACACTCATGACATCTATATATGTTTGAACCTTTCCGCTTTCCCACTGTAGTCCACCCGCAGGCATCCTACTTGGGCATTACTTTGTCACGTATGTTCAACGTATTGGATTTGGAGTTGGCAGAGACGGCCATAGTTGTACACCTTGCCGACTTTGACGAAGACTGGGTTCTCGCGACAGCAAAGTGGTTACGAGCAAGCTTCAGCGCTGAAGCATCAAAAGGACGACTGCAAGCCATACATGCACCTCGCAACCTGTACGCGCTCAAACAAGCAGAGCTCAATGCACTTGACTTGGGTGGTTTTTGCGACTTCACGATCAATGGTAAGTACATGCGTCGCAAAGATGAGGTAGGAGGTCATATGACTTACTGGTCCAAAAATGGGAAGTGGATTTTGTATTGGTGTAGTCAAAGGGCTCAGACAGCCATTGTACACAGGCGTTGGGCTGTGGGAAAAGTGGAGGATTGGGACTCAATCCAGAGTGGGACCTGTGTGGCAGTTGCAAGGGCTCCTGAGGATATGGAGGTGCTGGATCCCATCATCAAGGGCTGGGAAGAGTTTTTGGGAAGATGGGAATTGGCGCCAAAGGCAGGTATCTCAAACTTGGACCTCAGCGAGGGCGAGTTGCTGAAGTTTGGTGACAGCCCGAAGAGGCAGTGGTGGAGAACCAAACAGAATCTGGATTACACCTTCCTGATGTGGTACGCAGCGAACATCTCCGATTACTACATGCAAATGGAAGATGATATTCAACCAGTGCCTCATTTCATTTTGACAGTGCGAAGTTACATTCAGCGGAGTTTGCTTGGGAAGCACTGGGTTATGGCATCCTTTTCCTCATTAGGATTCATTGGCAAACTCTTCAACAACAGCCACGTCCCAAAACTTGCAGAATTTTTGCTAACTTTCAGCACAGAGGCTCCCTGCGACTGGCTAGTGTGGGTTTGGATTGATGCCATGAGTCCTTGGCCTGTCGCACCCGACATTCCCAAAGATGTGGAGCAAGAGAATCTCAGACTTAAGACTCACGCTTTATCGTGCTGAGGGAGCGGAAAAGGGAGAGAAAAGAGATCAGAAAACACAGGAAGAAAACTTCAACATCAGAAAACAAAGAAGTGCACCACCAAGGACACAAAAGCGTGAAAAAGCTATCAAGGATGGCCCGGAAGCTGTCAAGAAGCTTGGCTTCATGCGGGATGACTTGCAAGCATATTACTTGAATTCCTCCTGGCCACAACTCTTTCAGACTCCTGCAGCAGCTCAGCAGCATTTCAGCTGGCAAGTTTGGGCCAGCATGAGTGTGTGTTTTCGGTTCTTCATTTTCAGGTAGAAGTTGACACAACAAAAGCTTGGCCTGACCAGAACGGGGCGGTGGAATCACGATTTCCTCAAGCGAGGGTGGAGTCAAACATGAAGGCCCATAAGGCGGGAAGAGTCTCAAGTCAAGACAAAATTCAGGATGATTTGTTTGTGCAAAAGCAAAGACATAATCATGAACGTTGTCAAGACAATGTTTCATGATGTCCCTGTCGTTCTTTTTTGTGGATGTTCCACGTGTTGAAAAAGGAGCTCGGAAGTTGCGCCGATTTGAATTGAACTTAATTCTAGTTTAATGTCTATGTATATTCCTTTATTGATTTGTTTCTTTCTTGCTAATAGCAAACGTTGCTCCTAGTACGGCCAGCGCCCGCCGTTGAATGCGCTTTGGGTCCGAAGATGTGAGACACAAAGACTAAAGGCCTAAGGCAGTCCGCGAGATGCAGTTGCAACATGTTGCAACATGCGTGGACAAGTGTATGGTAGTGTATGTGTGTATCGATCTGTCTGAAGGAAAACATGTCAGAACATGGCGGAAGTAGTTGTTGTCAGGGTGCTTCTGCTTCTCCTTACAGGATTGATTGCTTTGCTCCTGTTGTGGCTCTTTCCCTACCCTTATCCTGCTTACACTACCTGCGTGCCCTTCTTTGTCATGTGCCTTGTCTCGCCTCATTTGTGATTGTCACCGACAACATTGTTGTCGGAGGCCAGCCCTGTAGCAGGATTGTTCTTGATAGCTCAAGCTAGCATGTGCGAACGAAACACAACCAGGCATTCACCGCAAATTTGGTCTATCCACCTGGTGATCCTCTTGGCTTTTGGACGTCAGATACATGTACTTTCCCAAGTGGCAAGGCGGACCCATTGTGTGAGCATCAGAAGAAGTACTTCAGAGCCGCGGACTTGCCAGGAGGGACTGAGTGCGACGGTGTTAACGAGTGTTCATTCACCATCATAGCTATACTAGGGAAGCCCAAGAACAAGCATGTATGTCAGTATGTCCAAACGCAGTGCAGTGTGCAGCAGACAACCTCCTAAAAGTAAACCGTTCAACATAGTACCGAACGTCGTGTTCATATGAGCAACAGCCAAAAAAGATCCAGTCACAAATCTTTAGAGGAACTTTTGCATAGAAATCATGAGGGAATTCTGTAAAGCGATATAGTGAACAACCAAAAGCGATACAATTATTTCATTTGAGTTCCTTTAATTACGGTATTTCTTGGCTTGGTAATTTCCGCTTTACATAAAGCAATACCAAAGCGATGCCATTTTTTGATTAAAATTGTGTCTAGATGAGGGGGAGCTCCTTTTGTATCATTTCCTAATCTGTGTACAGCTGAAGAGCTCTAGAAAAAGAATCGCTGGGCAGTGAAGGGGAAAGGACGGCTACTGTGTGAATAGAATTCTCTCTCTACCCATATCCATGTGTAAAATTGACAGGCATCCGAAACACTAAAGCGATATAGTGAACAACCAAAGGCGATACCAAAATACCGCTCTTGTTGTGCATAGGTTTTGGTGCCGCTCATATGTGTTATTACGTGTTCATGCTGTATGCATGTCCAAGGATTGGTTTTCAATGAGCCCCTGCATGGTGAAGTGAAGGTGATTATTCGACAAAGCCGTGCGCAGCATGAAAACGATTTCATCAAGAGTGGCTCATTGCAAGTCTCCAGGACGCAAGACTGCAACAAGCTCCAGCGAGTCAAGGAGCTCCAACAAGCAGAGGAAATTTGGAAAGGGCATATGGATCGTGTGCTTTGTTTGCAAGTCACCCTTGACAAGCCTCAGCCCGAGTGGATTGCCATCCGCGAGATAGTGATTGAACCGCAGAGCTCTACTTCGACAAAACCAAATTTCCTGTCGCCAAAAGTACATTCTTCTGAAGTGTCACATTCTTTTCATTATGCCTTGCAACATGCGTTTGAAGCTGCAGCTCTGGGCTTCCTGGCAGGAAGCCTTGCATGGGTTGCAATTTGGGAATTTGGAAAGCGGTATGAGATTATGCGTTCAGTGGGATGCTTTGCTCCCTGGACTTTCACTTTCATCATGGTTTTGGACGTGTCATTGCTCATTTTCCTTAAGCCAGATCGCCCAACAGTACCTTCATCGGATCCAAGCCCCACTCCAAGTCCGCTGCTTTGTCAGAACCAGAGGCCACGTGAAAAGCTGCCACTTGATTGGCGAGTTCTTCGTCCTGGCATTTCATTCCTTGAGAAGTCTCAGTTGAAGCACCTTGGCCCTGCGAGGGATCCACGAGAGACAAGTGAAGCTTGGGAGAAGCGGCAAGTTTCGATTGGTGTAATAGCTCAGCCTGACATGGATGCAGCATTTGTGGCCAGTTCAGTCCTGCAAATAGTGCAACATGGTGCTGGCGATGCTACCATAGCACTCTTGGTGGGTCAGGCAAGAAATAGCCCTTGGAGCCCAAGACGGCAAGAGTTTGTCCAGAAGCTTCGCGAGCTTTTGCACCAGGGAGGAGATTTGCTGCATCTCTTAGACCCGTCTGCAGATTTGTACCCAGAGGCACCTACGAAAACAGAGAATGTGGACCTCGCATTGTTGACAGCGTTTTTGGAGCCCTTGAGCGATGCTTTCATGATGGTTGAGCTTGATTGTGGTTTGGTGAAAGATTATCCCTATCATTTGAGGCGTTTTACACAGACACTGGACTCTTTGTCTACTCCTTGGATAGTGGTGGAATTTACTGGGCCCGGCCACACACGGAAACTTCTTCGTTCACGGTTGCTTCCCAGATTTCGAGCAGCCTGGCAGACTTGTTTTGATTTGAGCATGACAGCTTGAACGGTTGAAATGTGTGTCACAACCTGTTTCGTTCCTTTTCATTGCTGTAAGGGATAGCACATGAGACAAAGTGCTGCATCTACAGCAACTGCTCCCTGCTGCAATAAGAACAATTTGCCTTGCTGCAATGTGCCATAAGGAGATGCTGGTGATGTTTCCAAATGTTCCTGCAGCGTCCCTTTTTTGGGATTTTATCGATGTTGTCGGCAACGAAACCGCTCCAAAGTCAATTTACTTGGGAGGCTCAGCTGCAGGCAGCAACGGCAACAGAGTTTTTCCATGACTTTCCAATAGTAATCCAAACTGGTATCATGCTCCAAGCATCGGCTTTTCACAATGTTCCACATGTACCTGGTCGGACTTAAAGTTCTTCAATGTGGCTCAACCGCCAACAAACTTGCATGCAACGATTGGATAGGCACGTTGAGTGATGCTTACAAGGGAGCCGGCACCCATTGTTTTGACAATGCTTTGCACAGAGATTGTCAGCAAGCTAGCGAGCAAGCAAAGGAGGGAGGGAGGGAGGGAGAGCGGGGGGGAGAGAGATGGAGCAAAGCATGAACCCTACATCCTTAAACCCTAAAATGAGCACACAACCAAATTACAAGATTAGGTCAACCTGCATGCAAGACAAGAAATTGTTCCTGTGGTCAACAAAGATCGCAGTCATTTTTTGAGTTCAATCTGTCAATTTGCAGTCAGGCGTGAAATCACGCCGTGCATATTGCGTTGGAGAAGAAATGACCGCATGTGTATGTTTGTTCCTGTCAACCACAGGTTAAGAGCCTTGAGCTTTTGCGGGAAAGACCGCTTCTGTCTCTTGACAGGGTCGCTGGCCGCTATGGCGACCCGCCGTCGTCAGCAGCGCCCCCGAGGAGGAAGAGTGGCGGAGGGAGCCTCGAGAGCAGCTGGAGGTGGGCGGCGGACAGGCACCAGAATGAACTCTTCGAAGAACATCGTAGGCCTTCGGTCCCGGTGTGAAGGGGATCACCGGCGCATCTTCGACCTTGCGTGGGCTTGTTGAGTCGGTCCTCTTCAGGAAGCGACCCGTATGAAGTTTTGCAACAGGATTCTTGGTGGCGTTCACCGGCAGCCGCCGTCGCCGTCTTGATCATTTTCTTCGAGGTGGAGGTTGCGGGATCCCATGAAGCGATATGCCAGAGAGCACGAGCGTTTTGGGGCGACGGCATGTCTCTTCACTCCACACAGCAGGATGGAAGGTGATTGACGACAAGGGGGTCTTCCTCCTGACGCGGTCCCTTTCTGGAGTTCACACACGAGACACAAAACTGATGCGGTCACTCGGTCACCCCACTGCACCAACATGTTCCAGCAAGGAGTGATCGTTTCAACCTCACTCTTGGAAAGCAGCGAACGATGACGGGGGTGTTTGAAGAGGACCAACCTCACATCTCAGGTCTTCAAGCTTCTCTGCGTCGTCCTCACCGTGTGTGTGGTTCCCCCTTCTAGTAGAGCCCACAAGTCCAGGTATCAGTGGACGTCTTGAAGTTCACGGTCAGTCTAATGCGAAGGAGCATTCCTAGGCAATGGGCGTGGTGATGTAGTGTTGCCGGGTGTGGAGGAGCCTGAGAAGATATGGCGGACGGCCACGCGGATATGGACAGTCCGGAAGATCCTGTAAATGCGCGGAGGGCCAGTCCATCATTGCGAAGGTTTCACGAGTGAGGAGGAGGTTCATTGTACAGGATTGACCCAGCTACAAGAGCTTTGAGGTGGAGGTGATGAAGTGGCCTTGGAGCAGATCGACGCGCTGTCTTGGCGAAGATGAACTTCGACGACTGCGGCGGCGTGTCAATGCCAGCCATTTACATTCAGACATGTGTGTATGAAGAACGTTGCAGTGATTGGGCCTCCGTTCAAGTTGAAGAGGCGGCGCAAAATGGATTAATGCGTTCTAGCTATGAGGGGCACTATGACGCTCTGGATGAACAGATGAACAGTGGAACGGGATGAGCGTTGCGGGGAAATGTCTCAATCCAAGGCAAATGGGGGAAGAGAGGTCTTGGTCTGCGGGGTTCCGTCACTTCGGGCTTGGGCTGGGCGTTGATTAAGAATCAGGAAGGCCGAGTGAAGGTGGAGTTGATGGACCTTATTAGCCAACTTCTGGTGATGTCGGAGAGGACGTGAGGTCAAGTGGAAAGCTCAGCCGAAATGTCTCCCCGGCCCTCGACGCATTCGCCTTGAAAAGCGCCCCAGCGCCCCTGTGCGCAAGGATCGGATGGAAGTTTTGACCAGATTTAGTGTTGCGCAGCGCAGCAGCGGGAGTGTGGTCAACAAAGATCGCACGCATGTTTTGTCTCAATCTGTCAATGGCCAGTCAGGGCGTGAGACCACGCCGTTCGATCTGCGTTGGCTCAAGGAATGCGCTGCATGTGTATCTTTGTTCCTGTCAACCACAGTACTTCCAAAGTTGGTGACAGTGTGGAAGTACATTGTACATGATATAATATATTTGTAAAGCTGAAGAAATCTGAAGACAAAAGTTGCCAACTTGGCGTCAAAAACAGAATGCATTAGGAAGTAAGGAAGGATCAGATCCTGCGCATCCCGTTCCCAGACCACTCGCACTACCCTTTCTCTTTGCGTTTGTCTCAAAAAGATCCACTTGAAGTTGTCAAGGGGCCTGGGCACATCTATCTATCTATCTACCTACCTATCTATCTAATGGAGCACCTAAATTTTTGTATAGCTCTTGTAAGTACAATTTTTTTATAGCCATGTTGGTTCACGAAGAAGCATTGCGCAACTGCTCATTTTGACTGAAACATTTTGCGCAATCACCTTGTTAAACGCATTTTTGAGGCATTCAAGCTCATGCATTGAGGCACTGATGCAGGAAAGCGAGACCGGCCTGATGTAAAATTGCAGCATAACAAACACCAGGCCCAGAAATTTGTAATGTCCACAGTCCAACCATCTGACAGTTGATAAGTCACGGTTCAACGATCGCTTGTCCACACGTTTGGAGGCGCTCATAGAGCACCTTGGAGATGTGTCCTCCCTGGAGGGCAAAGTGCAAAGAGCTCAAGAGGCTGGCTGCATAGGTGAAGGACCTGTGCAACATGTTCTTAGAATCAGAAGTGGCAAAAATTGACATCAGGATTGTATTTGGTTGTGGCTCAAAAACAAGGATTGTTAGGAACAATCCTTCTGTCCTGCAGGGGCTCACCAAGTCATTTGGATCAACACCATTCATGCGGATCAACCTATTCCGGCTGAGTACTACAAATATGTGAATCCATGTGAATCCAATAATTATCATATTTCACTGACATCCCAGTACCCAGCAATCAGTAATCTACTGAAGGCTGGTTGGTGGCGAAGATTTGTGCGCAAGTATTATCGTGGGCTCATGGCTCATGGCAGCCATCTAAGAGCCATAGTTTCAAAATGAATGAAAATAACTGAAATTTGGTGCTGTGACTTGCAGCTGGCAGCACTGATTTGAGTGACATTTGCTGTGGAGGCCTATTTCAAAAACAATGTTTTGGTGGAGTCACTTTTCGACAATCCTCCTGGAATGCTCAAGACCAACATTCCTGGGCCGTGACCTGAGCAAGCTGCTCCACACTATCAACATGTATATATATATATAGACTACATTATACTCCACGTGTGTGCTTTGCATTCTCTAGATTTGATCTGAGGAGTCGGCAGGACATTTTACAAGCAGTCTATGATGGTTCCAAAACTGCTGGGGAGGCATGTTCGTGTTGCTGCGACGTTTGCAAGGTTTGCAAGACTGGCTCGTTATTTTGCACTGTTCAGTGATGCAGCGAGGTCACTTGTGGAGGGCATTCGGCTAAATCGTGCAGCGAATGTCCACAAGGCAATGAATGGATCTCAGCCGAGCGGTTCGATGAAATCAATGCCACTTTGTTGATGACATAGCCAGTGTATATCGAACGATCGAAGGGGCTCAGAAAATGCTAGTAGGTTGGAGGCCATCGCTCTTAGGTTGGAGGCTATCGAAACGAAGCCAATAGACCCAAAACGAAACCTCCTCCTCCAGCCCTCCTTGTCGATTGCTTTGTCGTCAGGGCTTTGAGGGCTTAAAATGGAGGGACTTGGAACCAAGCCTGAAAGAAGCCCCAAACGATGCCAAGATACATTGGTATAAACCGGCCCAAGTGCCCCGGACACGAGATTGGAATCGATTGTGGCGGGCATTCTTGAATGATGATGTGGTGATAATCTATATACTCAGCTTGTGAACAGGCAGGACATAGTCATCGTACCCTGACTGGTACCAATCCATGGTAAAGAAGCCGGCAGACCAAAAGCGAAGCCTAAGTATAGTCATAGTTGATAAAACAACATTTTGTGTATAGTTTATGTATTATATTACGTTTCAAGGCATACTCATTTCTTGCTCGGAGGCCATGGAGCAAGCTGGTGCAACAGAGATTGTGGTTGGGCAACACTGACAAAGTTGCGAATCTTGGTACGGTTCGGTGACTTCAATGTCCTAGCTGCTCCAGCTTTTAGACCCTGCTGGTACTCGTAGCTGGAGCAATGTTTGGGGGTTGCAGGGTACCTGCAAGGCTGCAAGGCTCGCGCGTGCCAGGTGGATGGCACGTGCAAAACCTTGTACAAGACGGACAAAGTGACCACAAGCCAGGCTCAACGATGCCAGACAGCGGGGTTGCTTGGGTTTGCATGTTTTGCAAGCCACGCCGTTACGCCAGGATGTATATTTTGAGCTTGTCTTTGAAGATGCTCAAGATGTTGGCACCTCACTCTTGAGTGGTTGTGCATTATCAAGGTCAAGTGGTGCAAAGTGAAGCAGCTTATAAAAGATCTTGAATCAAGAGGACCTTGAAGTATTTTAACTTATGTTTCCAATGTATAGTATCAACGTGTTTTCCACGGCAAACATGTGAATGGCTGTGCATTTCATCGGAGCCATTCAAAGGTGGAGATTGTGAGCTTGAGCATGGGTGGTACCGTCAGCGGCGCAGAAGAAGACATTCTGAATATCTGAATTCATTTTCGGAAAAACACAGTTTGAAGTTCGACACATTTGAATACTGTGCATACATTTGCACACGAGATCCAAACAAAGTCAGCAAATGATACGCGTCGTCCGCATCGACATCGTTTCTTTGTTCAAAGCGTCGTGCGCGTTCATTGAGGGCAAGCAGCGAGTTACCCCGCTGTTGCTGCCCAGTTGTACCTGTACACTCGTTGATTTAGATTCTCTCTCCAAGACCGTCCTGTCACGTCACGAATATGCACAATGTGTTGGTATTCCATTGTTACTTAATGTTAATTAATTAGACTGTTTAGAATTTGTTCAATCACAGCAACTGATCTCGATCTTTGCTTTTGTAATCTTTTGTGCATTTGTTTCAGTCAAAAAAGAGCCTGCGAAGAAGCCTGCTTGGTCTCGATTGCCTTTATTTCTATGTGTTGGCTTGCAGCTTCATTTAACGAAGTAGAGGTTAATTGAATGTGTGGGTTTGCATGCGTTATTTTTCTTTCAGGTTTTAACAACTGGTAAACTCTGCAACTTCCTTCCTTGTTGACCGGGGCTCTATCCTTGGCTCGTGCCACCTCCTCTGCCAAAGAGGTTCTTGGTGGTGGGTTGATCATCACGGCCTCCTCCGCCATCGCCTCCAGCGGGTTGACCCTGTGCTCGAACCTTGGATGGTCCTTCCCAGGTCATCTTCCAGAGCATTCGTTCCCTCCTCTCAATCCGTGGCATGACCTCGGACATGAACCACCCTTCCGGGAAGCGAAGGTCCAACGTTCTTGGGAGCTGCAAAGGTGGATTGCCGAGCTCATCCGGCATCAGTGCATAGAACTTCAAAACCCCCCAAAGTCACTCTCGGCCTATGCTCCTCCTTAAGCTCCTCGAAGAACCTCCAATGCAGTTCCTCCCACACGACGATGACTTGTAGTGGCCATTTAAGCGGTGCTCCAACGTGCCATTCTCCCAACAAGGTGACTGTTCTCTCACTGCCTTCCATTCATGACCATACACCAAGGCCCAAATGCAATTCTCCCTCTTGACTCTGCTAACCCAGTCCTCAAATCGGGTTGGGGCGGCAGGTCGCTGCTCCGTCACGGTCTTCCCGGTGCGGCTTCAGGGCGTTCCTTAGAAGGGGCCTGACCTTCTGCCGAAAACCGGCGCGTAGCTTCATCGACGAGCCAGCTTGTGCAGCAAGCAACGCCTGAGCCAGTCCCATTCCTGCTCTCCATCTCCAACCTGCACCGTGTACTGGCCACATGCTCTGAGCAGGTACGAAGTCTTGCCTAGGCTCTTTGGAGGTGTTTTGCTGTGCCTTCACAAGCGTAGCCAGCTTGCTGGATGGCCTTCGCAATGTTGGTCATCTCTGAAGACGCGGCAGAGCCTTCAGCTCCCGTTCCGGCCTTGCGATCCAGGTCATTGGCCTGAACCAGTGCCACTGGGGCTGGATTGGCATTTGGGTGCATCCCCTCCGGTGAGGATCCATAGGTAGAGGGAGGAGCTGAAGACTACGACTCGACCACACTCCATTCCGACTGAGACTGAGTGCCCCCATCGTGTGCTGCTGCTTGCTTCCTCCACTTGGCCAAGAACTTGGTAAGGCCCTTGGTTCCTTTCCGCTGCTCCTCAGTGCCCTGCTCATACAGGTCATCTCCACCACGCTGAGGCCAGCTCGGGCCGCCATTTGTTTCCGGATGTCCTCCTCAGTGAGGTCGAGCTCTTTCCCATCAGCCAGCTGCTCCATGAACTCCTTCCTCTCTTGTCTGCGGAGTTAATCATTCATACGGGCGAGGCTGTGCTGAACCGACGATCGAGGTGTGTGGCCAGGGATGCCGTCCTTCGCCGGCATGTAGTCCTGGGGTTCTCCCCATCGCCTCTCATCTCCTTGACAAGGGCCTCCGCGTCCTCAAGGTCATAGCTCACCTCCCGTCCACGACCTTTGCGCCGTGCCCCACCAAGGTGACCGTCACCCTCTCCTTCATGCGGTGCGTTTCCTTCATCTTCGCCAGGAGGTAGATCCCTCACCCTCGAGCGTGACCATGAAGATCGCCGCGGCGGAGGAGTCGAGAAAGTCTCTTCGTGAGCTGAACGCACTCTCATGCCCTGCTTCGATGGGAATCCCAGACGGTTGCATCCAACGAAGGAGCACTTCGGGGCGGCTTTGGTCTGGAAATACTTCATACTGTAGCGTGCACTGTGCTCCGGGCGGTGACTGCTCCACCTCGAAGATGATCCTCATCCAGAAGGGTTGCCTCCATCGTCCCGTCAGCAGTGCATGGCCGGTTGGCCAAGACTTGTTGTCCCTGTGGCTCTTCCCATCCAATCTTATGTGCAATGCATTGGCTGACCGGTTCATTCTCGGACTCTGAGGTATAGTCCCTGTTGGCCGCCTTCGTAGTGCCAGCCGAGAACCACGACCACACCCGGCTGCCCGCCCGTTGAACTCCAGCTGAAGTGTTCATAAGGTGGAACGTATCACGTTGAGTTGCCGTGCCAATGCATAGCTCCGGAAATGCTGGCCTTCTTCAGGGCAGGTGTCGTGCCTGCATAGGTGCACCTTGTCATAGCCCTTGAGGGCAAGTAGTAAGCGCCCGTCATCTGGTAAACTCAGGATCGAAGGTCAAGACTCCACTGGTCTTGATGGCCGAACTCTCCGTCACCTTGATGATCACGGTGTGCCCGTCCCTTCTGAGAAGTACCCATCGGTCCTTGTGTGCAGGCTTCTTCAACTTCCGCAACTCCGCCGTCTCAGCGGCCAAGCCAGGGACAGCACATAGTGGGCCACCAAACACAGTGTCATCAGGGCCACAATCCTGATCAACAACGAGCGCCCCGTCTGTACGCTGGACCAGCTCTGGCCAAAGATGAGCCAGCCAAAGCCGCTATGGAGGTTGTCTAGAACCCCCTCCCATCCGCCAAGGCTCCACCGAGCAAGGTGCTCCCTCGCCGTCAAGGTGGTCTGGTTGTACCACCCTCCAAGGCCAAGGTATTCAGCCAGATCCTCCCAGAAGGTGCCCGGACCGTAGGGGGCCTCATCCTCAGTGGGCGTAGCTGCCTGCCACCATCCACTGCCACGATCCCCCAGGAGCACGCCAGGTCACCCGCCACATGGCTGCGACCCTACCCCAACGAAAAAAAACAACTTGGGTGGCCTCGGCCAAAACTCACCGTTCGCCCAGCCATCGCCCCAAAAAAGCGGTTACGAAAACTTTCAATTATCAAGTCCCACCATCCCCAGCATCAAGTCACCAGCCGTCAAACCCAACAACACATGCATTGGCAGATGATCCGGGTCATGCTGTATGCTATGCTGATCAGACAGGAATTCAGACTCAGAATGCCATATCATGCTGATGGGAGTATTGCACTTTAGCGTGGTTTGGCTGTGTGTTCTATTTTCGTTGGAAGCTTATAGCATCCAGACAGCGCACAATGCATGTGTTTAATGGAAGAAGCAAGCCCTATCAAGCCGGCAGCGGGCACTTGTTTACCCCTTGTTTGCGGCTGCCCTCCAATTTCCTGTAGCCTTTATGTTCCTTCGAATGTCTCAGGTGAAACCACCTTGCAGCAACTGCAAGGACAAGCCAGCCACTAGCCTAGCTTGGTAAAGGTGCCTGCGTGGGTCCAAGTGGTTGGCTCAATCTTGACGCTAAGGATGAGAGTCCAGACGATGACTTTGCTCACGCTTTGGATGATGCTGAATTGCGCTAGCCTGAAGTCGGGTGAATGTCTAGTTTATTCATTCTTTGTCAATGATTCTTTAAAGCGATTGTATTTGAGGCTTTTTGCCCGGGGCCAGAAGGATCTGATGGGTGTCGGAGACTCATTCAGTTGACGTGGCAATACGTTGCATATCCATAATTTGCCTTGGTGCCGCGCACGGCACAAACACCAATGAGCCGATGAGCCAGTTAGCGGGCTTGATGCTCCCCCATCCCTTCTTCAGCCGCGAAGGTGTTTCACTGTTCATAGTATCCCTATGCTGCCTACAGGAGCGCGTGTGCAAATTTTGAGCACGCCGCCGCAAAATTGCAAAATTGCATTCTTGGTTCCAGAAATCGGTTTAGGCAAAAATGACCGTGGCAAGCGCCACTGCACCTTCGAACACTTCTTCACTAATGTCTTTGGTTTTGGTGAGAGTCTCCAAGCTTTGCCCCTGTCATTTGCCCTGTTCTTTGCGCCTCAACGTCTCCGGAACCGTCGGGGCAATATTTGCAGGTCAGACACTGTTAGACACCCATGCAGCCCGTTTTGACGGAAATTGACGGAAGTACATGGTGGCTTGTGATATCGTGTGGTCACACACATACACACACACCAAAATTGGTTTGGCTGAATGAAGCTGCCCAAAAGCCCATCTCAAGAGTGTGTAAATAAGTCCCAGACTGATGAGACCAAGTTACCAAGTTCAGATGTGAACCAAAACCGCGTGGGCCGGAGATCGGTGACGTATTTGGTGTTAGAGTTGCAAATCGCACGGTAAGGGGCTGCGAGGGGCTTGCACTTCCGCGAGCGCCTTACTTTTCCGTGTTCGGGGTGTTTTGACGTTTGAATGCGTGGCAGGCACGGGGAGCAGCGAACACTTCTATAAGGTTCTATAACTAGGAACAAGAAGCTACTGGGGGCTGGCCTTACTACTAGGAGCAAGGACGCTACTAGGGGCTCCTGGCAACGCTACTAGGAGCAAGGACGCTACGCCCCTAGAGTCGCAGGGTTGCAACTCGAGTGAGGAGCATTTGGGGAGTGTTGCAAGTCGCTTTAATGGGCGAAGTGGTCACCGCTAGTGGGGTAGTGTGTTGCCACATGGCATGAAGCGGCGCGTTTTCAAAGAAGTTTGACATTTTTACGGACGACAATTTCACCACAGATCAAGAGTGTGCTTGTTTTTCACTGCTGCTCAAGACAGGGTTTCCCCGCTGGTGATTTGGTAAAGTAGTGCGTTTGGCGACTTTTTGCATGGAGAAGTGGTGTCTGGTGATGTGTCACGTGATGGAGCGCGCTGTCGTCATTTTCCATATTATGATGAAATGATATGAAATGTGTTGCACGGCATTATTACCGCTGGTAAGGTAGCGCGTTGTGGTGAAGTTGTGACTTGGTGGGTGATGAGCAGTCACTAAGTACTGTGGTCATGTTTGTCATTCGATGATTAATGGTGACTGAAGTGTGATGATTTGTGGTGACAAAGTGATGCGGCGTGGTGTGCTGGTATGTTTTTGTTGTGACGTGTCACTTCATGGTGCAAAAGGCTCTCGCACACCTATTGCCTTGGGTCGCACTTTGTCTTCGAGTGTCAGGAATGAAGTAGGTTATATATGTAGGTTATTGTAGGTTTGTGTTTGCTCTCGAGCTGCCAGAATTGGTGGGGACCAGTGACCAGTGAAAAAGCCACCCATTCATCTTGTACTCATTTGTACTCCTTTAGTTACTAAGGGATAAGCAGCAAGGTGTGATTGGTGTAGAGTGAATGGAGGCGCGTCGTGTGGTTGAGTCGTGTGTGTGTGTGTTGGTGCAGTGTCATGTGGTGACGTGTCATGTAAGTTGTGGAGTGTAGAGTAGTGAAGCCTCACTTGATGATTGGTGATGTGGTGATGCGTTATATGACGATTTGTGAGGTGATTATTATATGTAAGTATATATATTATATATATATACACTATATATATATGTGTGTGTAAGTGTTTGCAGTTCGTAGAAGTGGTCAGTCAGCAGCCGCATCCATGATGGATCAATTCCCATCCATCGCAAAGTCATGGCCAGAAGGTTGAGCTTCGGCCATGTTTCGAGTGTCGACTTGTGTCTTTGAAACACGCCACCTGGTGGGGCACTGGTGGGAGAGACAACAGACTTTGGCAGACTGCCTGCCAAGTGAATTGATGCGTACATCTTTGGATAGCCACGCATTTTCATGCGTTTGCAATGGTGTACTTCTTGCCAACGCTTTTGATTGACAGCCTTTTGAGCTGGCCTGGCCCAAGGAGGTTGGATGCGAGAAATATTTCAAAGTTCGAAATATCGCAGGGCGAGAAGCACGGCCCTCAGAGAAACGATTGAAAGAACTATGCATGAGAAGGCTGAGCATTTGATAGTCAGCAGTTGATCTTGGACGGCGGCACATCAATGCCCGTTGTGTGTCCAATGCCTGCAAGCTTATTCTCAAACTCACGCTGGAAGACTTAAAGCATGGTTGGTTTTTCTATTTTACAAAGATGTTTGGGGTAAGGTGTTTCGGATTCATTACTTACTTTGGTGTTCATTGAGGGTCTCGCATCGTATATTTTGCATCGGAGGGGCGTTGCCGTGCTGAGAATAAGGCTGTGTCCGTGTATGGAGTTTGGCAAGTATACAATCCGGTCGGATTATGTTTCAATACAGGGGCCCCAAAATAGTGGGACCCTAAAGATGGGAACCTGGGAAAAGCTTACAACCCCAAAAGTCAGGACCAAAGACGAATGTACGACATCCTTTATTAAACTCGATGCATAACGTATCAAAAGTCTTAAGAGCCTCCAAATGAAGGGGGGTTCCTTTTCCCGTTGCAAGAGCCATTTTTAGAATAGTGATTCTTACACATTCTTTGCTTGTGAAGTTTCTGTTAGACTAGCATTGCCGTTTGGCGAGGCCTCGGTGGAAAGTGCGCTTGTGTGGATCCGTGCCATTGGGGAAAACTTGCATGTGTAAATGTGGCCTGTCGCTGGTGAATGGTTCAATTGGTGGTGATTTGAGCGCGGCTGCTTTTCAAGAAATGTTCATGGGAGAGGCACAGGAACTCATGTCATGTGGTTTGGGGCCCAGCTTCAGCTCGGACCTGGCGGGATATCAAAAAGAAAGCTGCTTCCTATCAAACACATTTTTAGTTCCAGTTCCTATCAAAAAATTCCCCCTACTCCTTTTGTCCTGGTCTGCTGGTTCCCTGGTCGCTTGGTCCTCTGGTCCCTTTGTCCTGGTCCCCTGGTCCCTTGCTCCTCTGGTCCCTTGGTCCTTTTGTCCTGGTCTTCGGGTTCTTGGGTCTGTACTTTCGAGGCAAGACGCGTTAAGGGCGATTTGGACATCTCCTGCTCACACATCCGAAGCACTGTAGCATGCCTTTTAACACCAGACGTAGCAGGCCTTTTGTGAGCCACCCGACGGTAGAATTAGACGAGGAAGGTGCCATTCCAAGGTAGCAAACCTTTTGTGAGCAACCCGAGGGGGTAAAGTTTAGAAGAGGAAGAGAACATTCCAACGTAGCAGACCTTTTGTTAGCCTTGCGAGGTTAAAGAAGTTGCCATTCCAACGTGGCAGTCCTTTGTTTTGTGAACAACCCGAGAATAGAATTTGGAGAAGGAAGGTGCTATTCCAATGTAGCAGACCTTTTGTGAGCCACCGAGGATAAAATATAGAAGAGGAAGGTGCCACGCCAAGGCAGCAGACCTTTTGTGAGAGGAGTAGTAGACTTCCATGCGGGGGCACAATATACAGGAGGAAGGAGCCATTCCAGGGCAGACCTTTTGTCAGCCATTTGAGGGTCGACTTTAGAGGAGGAAGGTGCCATTCCAATTCAGCAGAACAGATTGTGAGAGGTCTTGAGATCCATCTAAAGAGATCTAGAGGTCTGGAGATTCAAGAGATCGCGGTTGAGACGCAGAGAGGTCTACATCTAAAAAAATCCAAAAGCGGCCTAGAGATCCAGACGGATCTAGAAGTGTAGAGGCCAGAGATCTAAAGATGCAGAGGCTTACAGGCCTTGAGTCTTCAGATCTAGACCGGTCTTGAAATCTAGATTCTAAAGGTCTAGACTCGTAGAGGGTCTAGAAAGATGTAAAGGCAAAGGCCCAGATCCAGAAATGTTTTGAAATGCAGAGAGGGGTCCAGAGGTCTTCAGATCCAGAGATATCAAGAGCTCTTTTCAGAGGTCTTGAGATCCGCAGAAATGTTGCACTTGCCACGCAATTTGCCTTCGAGGTTCACTATCGCTGCGCCTGCCACGAAATCTGCACTTCGAGGTTCACAAAGTTTTGGCCCTGCCACGAAATTTGCATTTCAAGGTTCACAATTCGCTAACTTAGGTGAATGCTTAGGAATGACTCCCCTTTGTTGATACTTGATACTTTTCTTAATAAGTAGAAACTCGGCGAAAGGGTTAGCGGAAGAGGTTTTTGGGTGAAGTGGGTCGGCAAAAGCAAACAAAACATGCAGCCGCGAAAGCGTTGCGAAGGGAGTGGCGACAGGTTTTTATATATAATCTTAATAAAAGCTCCGGATGGTTTATGACACCGCTCAAATAGAATCCAAATAATATGTGTGGCGTTGATTGCTAATACGTGTGGCCTTGTCTATTCTTTGCTTGGAGCTGTGATGGATTACGCATAGTTGTGCAAGTTCTGGCGCATGGAGGCGACTCCTACAGTTCACAAACATTCACAAACCATTTCAAGGAAATCAAGTTGCCTACCGGTGAAGCAAGCGAGTGCTCTCAGGTCTTTTGGAAGAGCAACAGTAGCCGCTTTGTCACTGCAGCTGGAGTCTCAGTGGTTGCACTGGAAATAGGCCTTTGATTGAGGTTATTGTGGATCTTAGCATTCATTTCAAGCAGCCAAGTTTGAAACTACAGGCTTCATAAGGTTTCCACTTCTCATTTTGCAGAGTGCCAAGGTGAAGTGCGTCAGGATCTCCATTCCGCGCGCAAAGCACTCAATTCTGCAAGTATCAAAACAAGTCACATTGGCATGTCAGAAGGTGTGGCAAACGCGGACTCAGAGTAATTATGTACTATTAAGGATTGAACAGTGCACAACATGCTCACACTTCCTTGTCGCACACTGAAACGACACCAGGACATGTTGGTTGGGATAGCTATTCCATGCTCTTAAGGTGTTCAACCGGGGCACACTCTTCCATGAAGTGTGCTTTTCCTCGGAAAGCGGTTCAAGATTGGATAAAACATGAGGAGCCAATATCAAGTGGCCAAAGTTGGTCGCTAAGCGCTAAGGCGAAAGCAACAGAGCCGGCGACAATTCAACGAAGAATGTCTATATAAATGCGCGAAATGTAGAACGAAGGCCACATACAAATAGAATCAAATAGATATAATTGGTCAAATAGTGCTTACATTTTCAGTGTGACGGGTTTTCTGTGGGAAAAACTGAATGGTTGCTTCCGGACTATGGAGGGCTGTCTAGAGAATATGCCATTTAACTAAAGTAGATTGAACTTGCGTTTGCGCGTGGAACAAGGACGCTGCTTTGATAAAGAAATGCAAATCTTTGCCCACCTATATTGTTTTTCCGCGCAAGTTTATGTTCGGGTACACATCCAAGACCAGTGACAACACAGTGCTGTATGCCCTTCCTATTCCGTGACTGGGAGACTCATTGACCTGGCAACCCATTTGCACATTCTTGTCCTGTGTCCTGATTTAAGATGATTTCAGCTTGATCTTAAAAGCGTTGTGAAAAGCAAGCTAGCGTCCTGAGTTACTTTCCACCCACAGCCCTGGCTCCAGTCACCTCCTACTTGTAAGAAGGATATTTGTATTGTATACGATATATATACTTGATTGTACTTGAGCTCCGTTTTTATCATCGATCTTTCGTAGTCTACCGGACATAACACGAGGCCCTGCGAGCGGAAGCAAACCTTAAAGAAACGCTCGGTAACTGTCGCGTAAGCTCAGCAGAAGTCCCCACCCAACAAGTAGCCCGCGAATGCTACCTTTCACACAGCGGAAGGTTGGCGCAAGTAGTCACGTCATCACAAACAAAAAGGGACAACACGGAATTCACTGCACCCTGCGCAGTGTGTTACGTCGCTTGCTTTTGCAGTGACACAGTGTTTCATTGTATTCGAGTACCTGGAATGTCTTTGCTTTTATAAACACTGAACCATGATTTTGTGAAACTACAATGGATCATAAAGCATGTAGTAGCCCAGATGAACAAGTGTTTTTGTCAGCAAAGGAACTCGGAGTTGCCTGTAACTTTGAGTGCTGGAACCCACGAAGACACCTTTGGATCACGTTACAAGTCGAAGGCACCGTACTGCGGTCGCCGATGTATCTTTTTGTGGTAAGTGAGCCGCCCTTCATTGACGACTCGCTTGTGTGGGCCGCTCCTTTGCATTCGCTGCCGGCCTTTGGCCAATGCCCCTGGGAAGCTGCTGTGAGACCCACGCCATATTTGGTGCTGGGAAGTTCGATGCTCTTTGCGCCATCAGAGCATGACTCATTGAGACCTTCAGGCATCTTCGGGCCGATGCCGATTGGGCACCCCCCCATTCATGCGACCATTCTCAGGGTTGTCGTCCTCCACTGCATGCTTGTCAGGGAACAAGGTGCTCCTCCTCCAGGCCACAGTGAACTGCACCTTTGCCTCTGACTCCTCAGCGCTCGGGGGGGTTCAGCAATACCAGCCAGTGGAGAAGAGGTATCATGACTGCCCCCCACCATTTGGATTCAAATCAACTGGGTCGTGATCGTTCGAAAGGATGAAAGGATCCAAATTTCAATGTCATGAATGCAGTGACGGGACAAATCGTTGCGAACGAGCGGTGTTCAGCTTTGATATTTTTTGACCATCTGTGGCGCTATGCTGTCCTAAGCACCTTGGCGCAAGTACTCGGTCAAAAGCCGTCGTACAAACCTTGAGGCTCAAGCAGACATACAGTATGGGTAGACGAAGACGAAGAGCAGACCCAAGATGTTCCGAAATGAAGATTCCGAAAGAAGCAATCAACTATAATGAGATATAATGATAGATCAATTACAATTGAGACAGCATTGGCAAGAACCACAAAAAGAGAGCGACAATAATTACCACGAGTCACCTCGAGTGTATTCCGTCAAGTCTGAGTCAAGTCCTGTTCTGACATTTGTTCTGATAATATGCTCTGACACGTCGCCTGACGTTTGACACTTTTTTCTCAGATGTAAAATTACATTTGTTCTGTCATCAAGTCAGCGCCGGCCGCCCCAAAACTTGCTTCCTTTTCTCAACTGTTCTGGCGTGTGTTCTTACTTTGCACAGCTCTTGCAAGCCTTCCTCCCAGACTGCAAGCTCCAATGTTTCTGTCGGATTCTGATTGCCTTTTCCCCGAACGTCTCTGCACAAATCAGGATTCATTTGCCAGCATGTACACTGTTGGACGGACCCAGGTTGATAATGTGGCCCAACTTAGTTGAATCCATCCGATGATGTGATGCTGAGATGCTCTCAAACTCTGCTCCCAAATTTCCTCGCACCTGTTCAGTCGCGTCATCGAGTCACACTTCCGTTGCCACAGAAGAGCTGAGCTCGAAATTCCCTTGTCCTTGAGCCGAAGTGATCCAATCCAAGCAACAAGCAACTGTGACAGACGAATGATCGGGCCCAGAATGCTATTGTGACACCGGCGGCAATTTTTGACTCTGCATTCGGAAATCAAAACTTGCACGCGTTCTGACATTTGTTGTGACAACGTAACCTGACAGTTGTTCCGGCCCGTATTCTGTCATATGTTCTGACGGCATCTGACAGCAAGTATTGCATGCGTTGTCTGAAATACATACTGGCAATGTAGCCCGACGATTGTTCTGGCATGACCATTTTTTCCTGACAACATGTCTAACTCTAACAATGTAATTGGTCATTTGTTCTAACATGTGTTGACAATATGCTCTAAGATCATGTTTGGCATGTGTTCTGACATTGTTCTGTCATGTATTCTGGCAATGGTTCTGATATCAAGTCCTGCATGAGTTCTGATATTGTTCTCACAGATGTTCTGCCATGTATATCGTTTGACATGTGGTCTGACAATGGTGAATCTGGCACGAGTGTTGGCAATGTACCCTGACATGCATTTGCATATGTTGTTTAACATATAAAGTTGCTTACCTTTTGGCGTTTCTTATAACAACTCAGGCTCAAGAACATGCACTGATCCTTCGGGCGTTTCAAATCCGGAGTTCTAAGGCTGGCCTTTTGTTCGTGGAAGGAATGTAAAGACGTACGTTGACCTTTGTAATTTCATGAAGTTCAGGAAACAAGCACACAATTCAACAAAATAAGGTGTGTCCAAAGGTCAACATGTTGTTCTGAGCCTGGAAGATGAAATCATCAGAACATGACAACCTGTCAGTCATGTTGTGTAAAGGCGGGTTACAACAATGTAGCAAGCCTGGCAGCGGCCGGCAACTCAGATCAAATCACGGTTGAGACCAACTGTATAGCATGTCCATCCTCAGGCTGGTTTCAATTTACCATCCACCTTGGAATCAAAATGGCCCGGACCCAGTGAATTGGATGGAATGATGAGGTTTGAGTCGATCCATAGCAACAGAGAGATTCCAGGTGGTCAGTAAACTCATTTGGGTACCACGATGTGTTGCTATGATAAGTTTGCATCATAAGGTCGTTTCCCAGGACACCTTTGCAAACCTATAATGCACTCAACTCCGAGCAGGTCTGTGGTTGATGTACTGTGAACAGAAGCAACACTAAGCGGAACGCGGTCGATGTGTATCAGATTGATGTGCTTTGTGTTGTGTTCTCAACGATTGACTTCCAAGACAGTTGCGAGTCACGTTTGAATCCTGCGCGCACAGGCTGCAATGTGGCAGGAGCATCACTTGGAGTGGGTCAGAGACTTTGTTGGAGTGACTCTCCATCGAAGTTCAGTGATTGTCATATGTTTATGTTTTTTGAGGTAATTTCTTCTCATCGTAAATTGTGGTTCGCTTTCTGCAGGTTCTCTTGATGAGCGTGGCCTTGGTGTCTGGAGCCTGTGCCTAAGGTTCCTGATTTTTCGAGCAGCATTCACACCTCACTGCCTTGAGGCGTTTGCCGGAGTGCTTGGATGCTTGTTCCCCAAGCAGCGAAAGCGCCGAAAGCTTGCACCAACGTGAGGCATTGCAAGCTGTTAAGTAGCCAAGAGCTGACGGAGGCAAGGAAGGAGGAAAAATAAGAAAGAGAAGAATTTGAGAAAGAGAAGGATGGTTTGAGAAGGAACTTGGGAAGGAACACGAGAAAGGAGAACTTCTCAACTCGTAGAGGAGGAGTGCAAAGAGGAGCTCAGAACGCTCAGAGAGGTTTGGAGCATCGCGAGGGACGCCCTGAGCTTCAACTGGACATTGGCCTCGGCTTCAAACATGGACACGTCGAAGACGTGAGCGCAGAAATGCAGAGGAAAAAAATATCAACAGATTAGAGATACAGAGATACATAGAAACTTCCATCGATCAAGAAGCATCAATAGGTCGATAAGCATCAAGCACGTTTGTCAAAGTTAAAAACGTATCTTTTTCACTCGACAATGCGCTGCTTTTGATAGCTGCAGCCGCGCATTGCACGTTCATACGCAAGGCGCTAGGAGAGGAGGGCGACTCCCAGGCACAGTGACTTTCTTCAAAAAGAACAAAGGAAAAGTTATCTAGTTTGGCCGACATTTGCCTTCAACCTTGGAATATAAAACAGCATGTCTCTCTCCAAAGGTTGATGTTCAGGTGATGTAGGTCAAGCCAACAAGATGTCCGATGGTTTTGATACCAGCAGTTCAAGAGATCAAGGACCGATGTGCTGTTCAATGAAAAGGTGAGTGAGCAGCTAGCATGCCTTCGTATATAAGTATCAGAATGTGTTGTTTTCTTCTACCCCTGTGCCAGCTCCCCTACTTTGCCGCCGGCCTGCTTGTTGCACTGGCGGGTGTTGGCGCCATTATGCCCCAACCTCACCCTGGTACCGTAGGGTGCACATTGAGAAACAAACAACTTTGGAAAGGTTGACAATAGCACAGCAGTTTAAGCAAAAAGCACAAAATCACGCAAGCGAGTAGTGTTTGACGTTCCTTGCACTTTCAGGTTGGGTGGAGATTCAGATGAGTCGGTTGACGACAAGAAGGCGATTGGATAGAGATACTCAAGGGTCTTGCCGCAACTTACAATGAGTCCAGCAACCTGTGGTGGGGAGACTGATCTTATGGAGGAGCTTCTTTTAAAGCAGTTGTCAACCAACTACATTGTTGTGTTCCGTATCAGATACAGCAGCAAGCCTAGGTTGTCAAGGAGTACTTCAACAATGCAGGCGCTGGGTGGCTGGGCATCTTTCGCTCCCCAGACTGTGCAGCGTTTGACATTTTCCGTTCAACAGAATTATCTCAGGCAGAGCGGATAGAGATATTATACAGCATCGAAAAACATTAACCAGCAATAGTTGCTAGTTGCTTAGCTTTATTTTGTGATTGTTCCTGGGGCTCCACTTTAGTAGGCATTGGTCCAGCAGAGTCCACTCTTGTTTATAAAAGTGTGCTCGCCTTCAATATCATTGAACAACTCAAAATAGAAATTGCAAAAACAAAACACGTGTATTGTATAAAGTCACAGATCCGAAAATATGAAAAAAAAAGCAATTCGCAGTGATCTTGAGCGCTCGCATAAAACCAAGGCATTAATGATAAAACAAGTCGAAAAAGCAAGAAGAACTGATAGAACTGGGAGCGCAACAGTCACAGCACTTTGGCAAGCAAGATCAATCTGGGATACAAATGCAATCAAAGTTACCAAGCAGGAGACAAAATACACAGATGCGAGCTGAAAACGAGCACGACAGCAACTGAACTATACGGACTATACAGTAACCCTGCAGTTTGTGATTGGTTTGATTTGGGAAGGGAAAGACAGTGTCCAGATGTGGTTTTGAAGTCGAAGGTTGAATACTGTAAGTGATGATGCGGAGCTCTCCTGATAGTCAATTCGATTGGTAGGCAGTTTATCGGGACCAATTGATGACCAATTGAAATCTTGAGTGATTTGGTTGGTTTTGCCGTGAGCAGGATTTGTTTTTCCTGGGAAGTAATCTATTGAAAAGTGCTCGTATAACAATACAATTAATATAGCTCAGTTATTCCTATCTATTCAGTTTATTTGCATTTCAATCGTTTGTCCAATGCCTGCACGATGCCACCATAAGACACCAGCAGAATAGTCCTGTTTATTAATCGCTTTTGTCAAGGCTTTGAAAGATGGCAGAAGATTTATGGTGAGACAGACGACGTGAATCCTGTGCAGAAAGTCGAGGGCTAAGAGGGCAGACAATCACCGATCACTCTTATGAAACGGATGTGTGAGGCTTTGAGAGCACAACAAGAAACACACGTAGTATATATATAAGATATATGTGTAAATGCCTTTGCAGTCCTTTGCACTTTCTGACAAGCGATATGTTCAGCCTTGCGAATAAAAAGAGGACATCCGAGTGGGCCACGCAGAGACTGTGGACAAGATCTTGAAATGGCTGGAGCGAGACTTCTTTCAGGGAAGATTTGGATGTGGGCTTGGAACCATTTCTAGCTCAGTCCATGTTGTGAGTTGAATATGTAACGCTTTGTAGAAGCACATCGCATCTCATAGGCTTCAATGATATTACCTTGTCTGAGTATACCTCATTCTACTTGATGCTGGATAGCAGGACCCCAAGACAGTATCGGGCAAGAGTGTGTGCGATGCAGGGTGCCTGCCTTGAGAATTCAGCTATCGTTGTTGGCCATTCTTGGGTAAGAATGACCTCTCAAATGCTGACAGCAAGGTGTGGAACTGGAAACTTATCCATTCCCCTGGCAAGCCGTGGTGCACTTGCCAAGCACTAAGGAGGATAGAGTTTAGCTGTAGAGGCTGTAGCATGGTGCAGCTTGAGGTCCAGGGAAGCGACATCAGTTCAGCCATGGTTGGAGAGGCAATGCATCCAGAGTGCAAGTGCTGTTTCATTGCTGGATCTTCAGGTAAGCCTTTTTTTCGTGTTTCCCCAACAGGTTCACTTGTGAAGGGTGCCCTTGCAAAACATAGGGTTTTCTCCACTTGTCTCCAGGTGTCTTCTGGGTCGCCTCTTTTGCGGTGTCTGCTGTCTCCGGGTGGTGCATTGCTTCGGTCGGCTTAGGGTTGTTTTCAATTGTGGGTTGCTGGGGTCGGCTTTTTTGCCCGCCTCTTTTTGCGATGTTTGTGGCTGTCTCCGACTATCTGCGGTTGCCTCTGGCTGTGCTGGATTGCTTGGAGTGCCTGTTTTGCGAGTGTCAGAATATTGTGATATATTGTGTAAGTGCACATGTCAGGCAGCGTTTCTCGGGATATTTTGTCGACATGTGCCCTGCCTTTTTTCCAAATCGCGTGATCTCTCGACGTGTCATGTTACTTTTTCTAATTGGTGGTGGCCCCATTTTGCTTGTTCTAGGCCCTAGACGGTCAAAAAACCGGTCGGCAAAGCTCCGCAGTTGGCGGAACACCATATTCTGGCAAGTGATGTATTTTTCTATGTTTTCTGCCACACGTACTTTTCGCAAATTTTGTTGGGAGGGTTCCAACCTGTGAAATTCACAAACAAGAGGATGTTGCGGTGATGCAGGGGTTTTGGGTGGCCCAACGCTTTCAGCTCGTGTTTCTGCTCGTTTTGCGACAGCTTTCCAGGCAGAAGTCAGGGCCCAGGCTTCGCTTCCAGCTGAAAAGCAACCGAAGTTTCTTGGCAGATACATTATACATTATATACATGGTTTTGAACCAATTTGGTGAGAATGGTGTCCTTGGCAAATGAATGTACAATAATATGCATCAACGTTTTTTCTGACTCGTGTAATTACCCACAAGAGGAGCATGTCTCAATCCCAGGGCTGATAGAACTATATCAATCCCTGTGCAATTCCGGCCACACGGCCACTGCTTGCCCTGAAGCGTTTTGAGGCGAATGAGTTGGGTGACGGGCCCCTTTTGAAGTGTCACTTCCAACCGCTCTTGGGCCAACATCCTTTGGTCTATCTTCTGCATCTCGAGTGTTAGCGCAACAACAGACTCTTGATGTTCCCTCCTCCCCTGTCCTGGACCACAAATTGGCTCAGGTTTTGCCGACACTGGCGTACCTGCGCCCTGCCCCTGCCATTCCGCCCTTTCCCCCGGATGACATATAAAGGCAACTGTAAAAGGTATACAAATCTAAGCGTGGAAGCCTCGCGGTCTCAACGGTTTCTTGTTCCCAAGACTTCGGGCGCTCCAGTCTCATGAGAGAGCCAAGGGCTTTCAAAGGTTTCAACAGAGAAGATCAGAAAAGTGTCCATAAACTCCACTGCGCCACAAACACATGACACTTCAGACACCACATCACCAATCAACATACTACACTTCGCCGCATGACAGACCACCAATCTTTCCTATGAGATATATTCTGAACCTTCCGCCCGCCGGGATCTACCTCAACCCTACTTTATCCACTGACTGGCTCCAAAAGAAGTATATACACGGATGTTTAGGTGTCATTGTGCAAAAAAACAAGGTCAGCCCGAGAACCCAAAAGCAAAAGCCGGAGCGCACTTTTTTGGCAGTGCGATGTGGCACAGTCAAGCAACGGATTCCCGGGAGCTGTGCAGTGTGGATGCTGTTTCTCAGTGTTTGGTTGAAGGTAAGTTTGTGGAGTGATGCTGGTTGGTATGATAGGTATGCATATAGCCAGAAGTTCGACAAGAAGGACAAATGTCTTTTGAGAACTCATAACTATATAGCTTATATATAATATGGTGCTACGCCCTCGTTGTTTAAGACGAACTAGGTGATTGGGCTCACAGCGGATGCGTCCGTGTCGGCTGTGCAGCCTCCTTACAGGGGAGGGCGAGGCCTGCGCGTTTTGCAGAGCGCGCGACTGCTTTTGGCACGGTACGTGCCAGAAGTTGGGCACTCAACTCCCTGAGGATCCGGACCAGCTTGTTGGAAGAGGAGCTGGAGAAGATCGAGGAGGCTGAGCACCGGCAGAGCGAGGCAGAGAAGTCCGCCGTCCCCAAAAGTAAGGGAGTGAGCAAAAGACCTCCTAGTCAGGGGAGGAGTACAGAGGCTGAAGGAGGGTGGACAAGTCTTGGGTTGAAGCAAAGCGAGAACGAGATCAACCACACAGTCAGAGCAGTAGAAGCCCAAAGAGAGAAGAGGTATTAGCAGGTGAAGAAGAAGGAAAACATCGATCCCGGAGGAGAGACAGCCGAGGGAAGAAGGACAAGTCGAAGAGCCGGTCGAGGCGGCGTAGACGTCGCACCAGGAGTCCAAGTCCCAGGACCACTCCGAAAAAGAAAAAGGTTGAAGAAGAGGAGAGAGGAAAAGAGAAAAAGGCAAAACCGACAGTCAAACCCCCTACTACTCCATCGCGATCACCCCCAAGACAGCGAGGAGGCGGACCACCACCACCTGTGGAGCGTCCCAAAGGAAGAGAGTGGCAAGGCCCAAAGGCTTGGCAAAGAGAACCCCAATACTGGGGCCAGAAGAAGGGGAGAGGAAAGAAGGAGAGGCAGTACTACTTTGCGCGTTAGCCTGAGGTACAGTGAGGAGATCTTCAATGCCACCGGCTAGAAGACCAGCAGCAGCAGTGGAGAGGAGAGAACCTCCTAGACTCCTAGACCAAGGGGAGGAAGGTTGGCACTTCGAAGACGGCGGCCGTGAAGAGCCGGCTAGAGAGGAGAGAGAAGGCAGGAGTGAAGCAGGCAAGAGATTCGAGGAAGGGACTTTGGTGCCATGCCATCGCGTTCCGCTAGAAGTCTTGAGGAGGAGACTGCCAATAGAGGCCAGCGGGGTGTACTGGGGTCAGACTGGAGGCATCTCCGGGCTGATCCAAGGAGTGCATGTTCGAGGCAGGGACGATCTCGAGGTCGAAGTGAGACCTCAG